TTGCAAAACGTCTCGGGGCTTGCACGGGGAGGGCCGGAACCGACACACGTCGCCTCTCCTGCTGAATCTCCTGGAACACACTTGCACGTAGGCATGGATGTGCGCGCAGAGACACCGTGGATAATATCTTTCAGCTGGCACGACCTAGCTTCCAAGCTGCGCTTGTCCGCTGCGTCTCGGGAGTACCGAACATGGTCAGGCTTATCATGTTCACGTTGCGAAGTGAAAACAACCTCTCTCCGTGCAGCGAGGAGCTTCGACAAAATCTTATATGCGCGCTCATCCGCCTCAAACGAAGCTTGGGCTTGCTCCTATGGCACCTAACCAGCATCGGCAAACTTTTCCCTGCGAAAAAGTCGAAAGTTTTATTCCGATCGCTTGCAACATCACTCAGGCACGTATTAAATCTTTGGACTTGGGTGATGCATCCTTTTTGGTCCATCAAACGTCGATTGAACCACCGCGGGCCGTGAAAACATCATTAAACATCGCCCACAATTCGAGCCTGGCAGAACTCCTCTTACGACGCAGTGGCTTCCTGGACTCTCGAACAACCACCAGATGCACCTGCGCGCCCCCATAAGACCTAGCATCAAACAGAGCAATGGCAAAACACTCGGCACGTCCAGCACTCTGGACATCATAGGGCAACGTGCCACGGGCAACGCCATCGAAGCGTCCGTCAGAACCTTGGTGGATGACAGACCGCCCGCGCCTCGTGCGCCTCCAATCCTGATGGTACTTCCCCCCGGGCAAAGTATGCCCCAAACGCCACTCTTGACCTTGGCCCCGTTGGCGAGCCCTCCCAATCCCGCGCCAGCGCTGCTGGCGCTGGGAGATGCCCGCAGCGAGGCCTTGGGGGGGGGCAAGCCGCGCACCCCAAAACAAGCATGCTCGGGATTGTTCAAGCCCGGGGCGCCAAACATCCCGAACGCATGACAGCGGGACCAGGCAGATCAGAATGGCCCCTGCAAGGCCAGAGTCTGTGAGAAGCAGCCCCTGGTGCCGATCCACACCTCGAACAGAAACAACTGGTGCACTAAGAATCAAACCCACTTTGAACAATCCGGCCCTGGGCCCAAGCGCCCGCAGCCAAAACTTTCCGAAGCGTCCCAGCTGCTGCACTTTGTGGGTCCGCTGGGCGATGTGCTCAGGGAGTGGTCGGCGGCGCCGGCGATGGCTTTGATGTCCGCGTTCTTCAGGGAGAGAGGGCGCGCGTCTTCGGGGGCCCTGCCTGCGATGAGCTCCCCCATGAAATTGTCGCCCTTCGGCGGGATGGCGAAGTCGGGCGCGCGCAGGCCCCGCGGGGTCGACTGGCCCGAGCAAGGGAGGCAGGAGAGGCCCCCCAGGACGTCCGGGGAGTGGTCGCGCGCGAGCCACGCGTTGCACGGCGGGCTGTCGGGGCCGGGCGCTGACCGAGAGGCGCGGAGGAGGAAGGCTTTGATCTGGTGCTTGCGCGGGGCGCCGACGTCGATCCGATCGCCGCGGGGCACGGGCTGCTCGATGCACTGATGCACATTGGAGTCGTCGGCTACCTTCGCGGCGCAGGCGGGTTTCCAGCGCGCGCGCAGGGCGCCGACCATGGCGCAGCTCTCTCCAGCTATCGCAGTGGGACCGCGCTGGGGGCCCTGGACATTCATTCCGTGGAGGAGGAGGCGACGTTTCCTGGGGGCCCAGAGGAGTGCGCGTTCCTGGTGGGCTCGAACGGGCCTGCGGAGACGCCCGAGGGGGATTGCTTCCTCCGGCCCCTCGGGGCCGCGCGCGGCAATCCGAGCCAGAGAGCGCCAGCGAGCCTTCAAGTCGCGGCGCAGGGGCCGCCGAACGGGGCGGGGCTCTCGACGCGGATGGCGCCGTCGCTGATGACCACGAACTGCTTGCCGAGGTCGGTGGTGGGCCGAGGGCGCCCGGCAAGGGAGGCGTCCCAGCGCCGGGCGGCCCTTGAGTTTGAGCGCGCGGCGAGGGCGCGGCCGTCGAGGCGGCTGGGGTGGGCGGCGTCGCCAGGGGACACAGGAACCCAGTCATCGCGGACCCAGCGAGCGGCTTCAGCCATGAGGCGCTTGCGCGACCGCGCGCGGTTCTCGATGGGGGCGCGGGTGGCGTTGACGGCGCCGGCGAGCTGCTGGAGGCATGTGGCGTGGCGCGGGTCGAAGCAGATCGCGGGCGGAATGGTCGGCTCGTCGGGTGGCGCGCGCGGCTTCATGCCAATTGCGAGTGCGGCGACGGCGTGGTCGCTGTGACGCTGGTCCGACAGGGCGGAAGCGTCGCGGGCGATGTCGACCCGCAGGGTGAGCTCCTGCGCGGCATGAGATGGGGGGGCTAATGAAGACGTGGTCGATGGCGGATGCCTCGTATTCAGACGAATTGAACCCGGTCGAGAGGTCCGTCTCGACCTCGAAGATGGCATGGAACAGCTCCTTCCAGACGGGCTGCTGCTGGCGGCCGTTGTTGTCGAGTGAACGGCGGGCGCGCTGGGCCCGCGCGTGGGAGAAACTTGCGCATGGGCGGCTGGCCGTGTTGAGGTCGCCCAGGGCCGGGGGCGCGCGGTGCTCGTAGTCCTGCTCGGCCCATTCGCGATGCATGTGTCATTCTGCGCGGGGGCCGTCGCGATCTCGCGCGCTCAATCCATGGTTGTAGACGTTCATCGGGGCCAGAGCGGCGCGGTGGGCGGCATTGGTGATGGCCGGCAGCTGGATGCGCCAAGGGGCGAGGGCGCTGCCAGGGATGGTCGGGGGCTGGCCCCGCTGGAGCTGCTCGAGCTGCATCGGCGCGAACCCAAGGGCAAATATGGAGGGGCCACCGATGGCCGCGGGCGAGGTGCCCCCGTCGGAAGTGAACTCGGAGAAGGAGAGCTTGCGCAGGCACGGCTGCGCGCCCACCCGCGCGCGGAGCAGCGCTTCAGACCCGCGCGCCCCCCGGAGGAGGAGGACGCAATGTTGCCGAAGAAACTTTATTTTTTGGGGGGGGAGGGGCTGCTTGCGACGGCGACGGGGGCGCTCGTGGCGCGTCGGCGCTCGGGCGCTCCAGCCGACGGACGCTGCAGGCGACGGGCCCTCGGGCGCCAGCCACGGCGCCCGCGGGCGGTGAGGGTCGCCGCGCGGCAGACTCGGTGCCCGAGAAAAGGGCTTGGACAAAAAGAGGGGGCGGCCGCGCGGTCGACGCCGTGGAACTGCTGGAGCTCGAGGGTCTTCTCGTTCCACTCGAGGGCGGCGGGGTCAGCCTAGCCGCGGATGCCGAAGCGGATGACTGGCGCGGCGTTGCTGTGGACCTCGCCCTTGCTACGGATGGCCCGCCACTGCGTGTCGGGGCGCTGGTGTGAGCGCAGCGACTTGTTGGATCTCCGTGCAGATTTTCTTCGGAGCCTCGTCGCCATTGAGGTGGGTGTCCACGCGCTGCCCAGCGGGGTCGGCAATGACAAAGTGCATCCGTTTTTCCGCGGCACCTCGTAACACGCGCTGCAGAGCGAGGGCTCGAAGAACAGCCACTTCGCGGGCGCCTCTAACTTGGGGAATGAATCGGCGGGCAGGCTCGCGGCCGCGAAATTCAATGTGGTCAGCCTGGAGGCCAGCTCCGCCGATCCATTCCTGCGGGTCATTGAAGGGGATGTCGGGCGATGCGAGGCGCTGTCAGACAACGGAGAAGATCGCGGGTTCTGGGGCGCGGTCCCACTCGGCGAGCCGCGCGAGGTCCGCGATCGGGAGTTGGGTCTCGGCGAGGGCGAGGGTGTCCCGCAACTGGTCGATCTGGTGCCACGCGCGGTTTTGCTCGGCAGCCCGTCGGTTCTGCCCGCGACCGGCGTGGGCGACGGCGTCGTGATGGTTGTCCGCGCGACGCTCGGTCTGAAGGACTTGCTGCTGCTGCAGTAGGGAGCGGAAGCTTCCGCGGGACTGCTCGAGATGGCGGTCAGCCTGGGCGCGGAACGAGTCGGCGGCGATGGTGGTCTGCTCCTGCATGAGGCTCTGTAGGGCGGTGTCCAATGCTGCGGGGAGGCCACAGGGGCGCGCAGCGGGAACGGATCCAGCTGTAGGATGCATGTCTTCAGGAAGTTAGGCGCGTGGCAGGCTGAGCGGCTCCTTGTGGATGTTCTCGCGATGGGAAGGTGGAGAACTTGTCCAGGTCGGCTGCCAGCTTCCATGCGCCACGTCCTTGGAGAACATCGCGGCGGGGCCCGTCGCCCGACGGGCCAGCGGATGTAGGGCGGGTGGCAGAGCGTGCCGTGCGCTAGGAACGAGGTGCAACGCGGCCCGGTGAGCGCCCAGCAGGGACGGCATCGTCACGTTGTTGAGCGGCGAGGGAACCATGTGCTGCTTCGGGACGAGGGCGGTCTTCTTGACGATAGGGACGGTCGCGATTGGCAACATGCTCGCGGTGTCCACCTTTCTGTCGGCGCCGGCGTGGGGATTCTGATGACGGGAGGCTGCGAGATGCCGAGCGCTTGTTACTACTGGCCATCTTTGCGACCTAGCCTCGAAGGGCACGCCGAGGTTGAAGTCTGCGATGGGCACGTGTCTGCCAGCGGCCCGGGGCGATGAGCAACCATAGCGCGATGGCGGGACGGACGATGGGAAGGCCAGCGGCGACACGGACAATATGAACGGCTCGGAGCCGCGCTCGACGAGCGCCATGAAAGGCTCGGAACTGGGCTCGACGAGCACATGCGGAAGGCTCGGAGCTAGGCTCGAAGAGCAAATATGGATGGCCGCCTGTAAGGCCAGTGTGAGAAGCAGGAGAAACTAGGATGGGCGGCCGCTAGCCCCTGATTGTGGCGGCAAGTCTGCGTGGACTGGTGGGAGCCTACCCCATGGAGGAAATGAAATAAACACCATCTTGGCCTTGAGCCAAAATTGCTACGGGAGGAGGAGGAGGAGGAGGAGGAGGAAGAGGAGGAGGAAGAGGAGGAGGAGGAGGAGGAGGATGACGAGGAGGAGGAGGAGGACGAAAAGGCAGAGGAGAGAGGAACAGGGAGGAGGCAGGAGGGAGGAAGCAAACGGCGGCCGTGGCGCCTGCTCCGCCCGTGCCGCCACCGAGGGCAGCCCCGCCTGCGGAGCCGGAAATCCACGCTGCTTGCGCCCCGCCGCCCTCCCGGGGAGGCGAAGGGAGGGGGAGCTACAGTCCGGGTTGATTGGAGAGGACACGCGAGAGGACACAAAACCCTTCCGGGGGCCACGCTGCCATATGAGTGCAGGATGCATGGGTCGCGAAACACAGGACACAGGGGCACCCTTGATTTGGCAGGGACGGACTATTAGTCAACCTCGACTGTATCGGGTGCGTCACTGGAGCGAGGGGGGAAGGGAGGGGAAACTCAGGCCAAACGACGACATTACCATACAAACTCGTAGGTCCGCGAGGACCTCCGAAAGTTTACGTTTATGCGATTGTTTGTTTCCCGAGGATTAGGCGTGAGGGTGCACAAACACCCAGTGCTGGATCCCAAGAGGAAGCGGAGGAAGGGGATAAGGGACGGCGGTGGAGGAGAGGCGGAGGAGGAGCAGAGGCGGTGGAGAAGTGAGGATTGGATGCGAACCGGTGGCCCGGGCCGGGAATCAGTCAGGGCAGCGGGGGGAGGCAGGGAGGAGATGCTGGAGTGATGTGGGTGAGGCGAGCGGGACGCGAGGGCGGAGGGCTGGACGCGAATGAACGGGGCGGCGATGCATGGGGGGGGGACGAAAGGTGCCCTTTCGGGGCCCTGGAGGGCCCCCTTTTTATGACAGCCCTCGCTGACCCCCCCCATGTGTCGCCGCTCCCCGCCCCTCCCCCATCACGCGCCCCCCAGGAGGGTGGGGGCGAGTCTCCTCTGGGGTTTGGGCGCTGGCCGGGGCCAGAGCCGGGGACAAGTCCGGCACGGGGGGGAGACGCGGGCCCCGAGGCACACACGGGCCCTATATGGCTCCTCGCCGCCCTCGGGCGCTGCGCGGGAAGGCCCTCTCCGCGGGCCCCCCCGCGAGGCGGGCAGGAACAACGGCGCGGGGTCGGGGCGAGGAGCCCGTCCCCGGGGGGGGGGGCCGAGTCTGCTCATGGGGCGGGCGGCGGCGGCGGGGGCGGAAGCCCGAGGACGAGCTCAGCATGAGGGGGGGCGGGGGGGGGGAGGGGAGAAGCGGGGGCGGAAGCCCGAGGACGAGCTCAGCATGAGGGGGGGCGGGGGGGGGGGGGGGGGGGGAGAGAGAAGGGGGGGCCCGGGGAGGCGGGCCCCAGGGGACATCTCGGGCTTTCGCCCCGGGGGAAGAGCGCTGCCCAGCCCGCTGCGGGGCACGGGGGGGGGGGGATGGGAGTGTGCTGGCCAGGGGTCGGCCTAGCGGCGACCCGTGCTGATGAGGAGGGCGCGCGGTGAGGGTGCAGTGGTCCTGGGGGGCCACGTAGACGCTCTCGCGCGCGAGGGGCCGGCCAGCGCAAGTCGTCCAGGATGGGCCGAGGGGGGCACGGATGCAAAAGGGCAGCCTTGGAGGGTCGCTCCTCCTTACGGTGCGGGCTGACTGTGAGCTGAGTTTGGGCGAGCTGGTGGGCCGTGTTTGCTTCGAGCTCGTGCTGCGGCGAGGGCGGGCGGAGGGCAGGGCGAGGGAGCGCGAGAGCAAAACGGGGACGAGCAACAACACTGCTCAGGGCGATCCCTGGTGCTGGGGCTCGTGGATGGCCCCGACGGCGTGGACAAGACGGCGAGAAGTCTCGGGACCCGTTTTCCTCTCAGGACCTGTTCCCCGCATGGCGAGGGGTCCAAGACATCCGCGCGGTGCTCCAAGAGTTCATGCTTGTGCAGTTGTTTGTTCGGAGAGGCGCAAGGCTTGATTAATCATGTGCTTACTGTGCTTTCGCATTTGTGGCCACTCGCAGACATTCCCAAACGTGGAAACCTGAGACCCACGGAGCACAGTGCACATATAAACTATTCAGGGCACCGTTCAGAAACCAGAACTGGCATATGGACTTTGTTGTAAGAGAGAACAAGCGGGTTCGGCGGATTCGGGTTGGCCTGACGGGGCTCCCGATGTGAAACTAGATGCGAGCTCCCGCTGCATGCACCCCACGAAAACTGGACCGTCGGAATCCAGGATGCGCTCGTCAAATGACGTCGGCGAACTCGAGATCTGGCGTGCTCGAGTCTTACGGTTCCTCGTTTTTGCTAGTCGAGGCACGTCAGCGGGGGGTCAAAGGGGCCCCGGAAAAGTTTATCCTCGTCCTAGCCCCGTCCGGCACCCATTTTTCGCCCCACCCGATACACACATTATGGTCCCTTCTGGCGATAGGAGAGTGAACGGCAAGAAACACAGGGGGGGGCGCATCTTCGAAACAACGTGCGGCAAATCCTAGAGGACGGAAAAACGGCATGAACGACAATTTTCGAAGGTCTGCACGGTTTTCTTGAATCGGCGCTGGACCTCCCTCCCTGGCGGGCGTAGTGCGCCAGGGGCGGCGCCAGAGGCGCCGCCAAGGGGGTCCGGCGCCGATCCGAGAAATCCGCACGGACCTCCGAACATCCACGTTTACGGTCAAGAGCTTTTGATTAGTGTCGCGGCGGCGGCCCCAGCGACACACTACGCCCTGCGAGCGGATACTCAGCGTGTCGCTCCGTTTCGTGGAACGGGAGGCCGGGAAAGGCTCGGACCGTTGATGCTCGGGGACTGGGGCGTGGTTAGCGTGTCGCGCCGAAGCGCGGTAGGCCAGAACGGGCGGCGCGACACGCTAAGCAAACGTTCCTGACCGCACCCCCCAAGGCGGAACAGGCGTAACCCCTCCTGCCCGCGGAGCCCAGCGGCCACTGGATCGCCCCCCAGAACGCTGCCCCAGGACGCCCTGAAACACCCGAAAACCTGGATCCGCTACCGTCGCCGACGTCGGAGGCTGCCTTGCTCCTGCAGCCTGGTGTACAGTAGGGGCCCGACCACAAGAAACCTTCCACAAGAAAGCCAACCCTGAGACCCCAGGGCGACCACTGGTTTTTGGCTTGGGAGCGTCACGCTTTGCTAGGCAAAACCATCGAAACCCAAGAAACCCAGGGCAGCCTGGAGGCAAGCAGGGTGTTTCTTGGCACGGGCCCCCACAATACCCCGCCCCCGCTGCTCTGGTTTTGTCGGCCCGCTTCCCTGGTCTGCGTTCCTTCGCTTTTTGCTCCCAGGCGAGGCGCGGCGCGATGCCACGACACGCCCAGCCTGGCTCGCACCTCAGATTATGTTGCTCCCATCGTACTTACGGACCACATCCCAGAAATAATTTCGAGCACCCGGAAAAGTGTCGAAACAGTGTCGAAACAGTGTCGGGCGAGTGTCTCCCAAGGCCCGACCACGTGAAAACCTTTTAGTTTCAATACTTTTGTGGTGCTCGAAATTCTTTCTGGTGATCAGGGCAAAAATAGGTTGGAACACCATAAACCCCAGAGCCGGCACACGCGCCCCGAGAAGCGGCGAAGCGACACGGAGCGGCCAGCCTGATACTCGGCCGAGCCTCCACGTCGAAGCCGCGGCTCCAAGAGGCAGGAGGAGGAGGAGGAGGAGGAGGAGGAGGAGGAGGAGGAGGAGGAGGGGAGGAGGAGGAGAGGAGGAGGGGGGGGAGGGGGGAGGATGGAGGAGGAGGGGAGGAGGAGGAGAGGAGAGGAGGAGGCGGAGGAGGAGGAGGAGGAGGAAGAGGAGAGAAGGAAAGGGGAGGAGGAGGAGGAGGGAGGGAGGGAAGGTAGGAGGAGGAGGAGAGGAGGAGGGAGGGGGGAGGAGGAGGAGGAGAGGAGGAGGAGGAGGAGGAGGAGGAGGGGGAGGAGCCGAGGCTTCCCGATCCTTCTTTCTGAGCAGGCCGCACGAGCAGAACGTTTCGAAGCTCCGCGCGGACTTTTTGCACGGGCGCCGGGCCCTCCCTGGCGCGCTCCGCGCGCCAGGTGGCGGCGCCGGGGGCGCCGCCATGGGGCCCAGCTCGCAGGTCCGAGGAGTCCGCGCGGGCCTCCGACAAGCTGTGCTTGCTGTTCTCTCCTTTGCTCACGCGACGTGTTTGCCCCCGCCCCCCCCCTCTCCCTGGCCCCCCCCCCATTCCCGGCACACCCTGTCCTGCTCCGCTCCGATCCGGTACGGCACGAGCCGATGCCCTCCCTGGTCTGCAGCGCTTGCCTCCCCGGTCTGCAAGAGGGCCAAGCCCGATCCGCGACCCGAAAAGATCCGATCCCGATCCGACCTCGTCTTTCAGATACGACCCCACCCTGTGGCGAGCACTATCCACTGTTTGATTCTGTGTTTTACCCCAAGCCCCTGACGCCACTGAACGGCATGTACGTTCGTAGAACTGGGGCGTCCCAGTTAGAATGGGCTAGACACCTACATCCACATGCTTTTCGTGATCGACCAGTCTTTCGTGCTCGCCTGAGCGCGCCGACGCGCCCTAGGGCGTGTGGCCCTCCTTTCATGTCCTTTTTTTTCCACCCTGGGAAGGGTTAGAAATATGCACCAAGTCGTCTGGTCGGCCAAGGAGCTCAGTGCGCAGACGCCCCAGCTCCCCAACTTTCGGGCTCCTGGATTATGTACACCACTTCCCCTCGCCGAAGTCATTGGCTCCTTGACCGACCAAACGACGTTGTGTAGACATCTGAGGAGAACAGCTATCGTGTTGGAAAGAAGGGGTTGGGAGGATGAAGGGTATGAGCAATAACGTTTAAATGCAATGTACGATACCTTCGACCGCCTACGGGTAATGATACCCCCATCTCTCCCAACCCCGTCCTCCCAACCCCATCATTGCCGTCCTCCACATCGAGCCCCCCCGACGCCATGGGGGCCAGGTCCACGCGCGCAAGCCACTGCTGGGGGGACCCCTCTTGGCCCGCACCCAGGGTCACCCGGGCGAAGGGCCACCCGTCTTTCGAGTCGTAACTCGGGCCTCTGAGGGCCGTTTGGGACGGTCCGGGCACCCCCCGAATACAATCGGGGCGTTGACCTAAGGAACCCTAAATAAGGAACGAGGCCCCTTTTTTTTCCATAAGTTAGACTTCGACTTCCTATCGAAAACACAAGGAAAACCTGAGGCAAGCTGTGAAACGCTCAAGGAACGCGGAGCCCCTCCCCAACCAAAA